GGTGACAGATGGTGACAGGCAATGGATGTGTTCTAAAATTTACTCGATCTTACCCCAGGGTAAGGGATTTGTACTTTGGCGTTCGGGAACTTGACCCGCGTCCAGTGATTTTCTAGCTGTGTTAGGTGGCACGACCCGCCGGAGTAATTCAGATCCATTTGGGTAAGATTTGGAACATGGCAGCCATAACTATATGGTGACGGGGGCACAGGATGTGCATGGGCGCAATGCCTTTCCCTTTTCGCCTGCACACCGAGCGGCACTACAGATGCTAAGTGCAATAAATTACTACCACCACTATTACGTTCTGCAACTTGATTTTGAAACGGCCGGGATATCATTTTCTCTATTCTCCCTCGACTGGCTGCGCCTCGGATTGTGGATGCAACCAAGGCAGCCGTTTTTCATGATAATTTTTCATGCCGGCGCCGTTCCTAAGGCTGCCAATCGCTCCACTAGCTTAATTTATTTTCCCCCTGATGATCGAAAAAGAGCGGGGATTAAAGATGTTATTATTACATACTTCAATATACTTTTTTTTTTTTTTTGGTTTGGGGGGGGGGGGGGGGGGGGGTCTTGACGACGACGCATAATCTTCCGGCGAAGGTTACAGACATGATTCGAGACGAGCATTCGTGCCTTATTTTCCTAGCGTATTTATCGCAATATTTGCGTTCGGCAAAAATATATTCATCGTGACGTCACTGACGGAATTTGAAGAAAGATTACATGATTCGAGACGAGCATTCGTGCCTAGTTTTCCTAGCGCATTTATCGCAATGTTGGCGCTCGGCAACAAGCATATTCATCGGGACGTCACTGGGGGGATTTCAAGAAAGATGAATTAATAATAATAATATTAATAATAATATTAATAATATTATTTATGTGCACACCATCAAGGCAGTCATATGCAACTGCCTTCATGGTGTGAAACACATTTGGCCGAGTGGACTAGCGCACACCTAGCCTGGCCCTAGCCCTAATCTGGATACTTGGAGAAACATTCAGCGAGAAATCCGGCGGCTATGATTGGCCGGCGCCAAAGACAGGTGCGGCGTCGGCCAATCACGGCTCCAGATCTTTCGCCGACTTTTCACCAAGTGCCCAGATTAGGGCCCCAGCTCAGAACACGTGGAGCGAAAGCTCGTTTCGACAGGGGTGGCTACCTGTTTCAATCTAGGGTGCTTAAATGTTCTGGTTAGGGTGATGACATCCTTTGTAGTACCCAATACCGACAACACGCGCTCACAGGAAAAATACAAAAAAATTGCCGAAAACAAAATGCCGCCATAGCACACTCAATGTTCTACTCAATGCTAGGAGCGCGTGCAGGGAGACGCTCGTTCAGGTGATCCAGAATAAAAAATAAAAATAAGCGTTCGTAGCAAAATGGTTAGATGTCATCACCCTAAGCAAAGCGCACACGAAGGCGGCCCGTTTCGTTCTGGATGAGCGTCGTACCGGCGTGCGGTTGTGTATAGTCTACTGCGTGATGCACGTCAAAGACCCCAGGCTAGTGGTTGTACTGCACTGGCTAAATTGCTCATCCACAGCCGAGACACCAGATGCCCGCTGAGGCAGACTAACTTCCGGCCGTATAAGCATACACACAACAACTCGTTGAGGTGTTATGGAAGCTGGCTCTCACCACGTGCTCAGCAATAACAAACGAGCATCTCCGTTGCGCTCCCGCGTCCCCCATTTGACTTCCCTTAGTAAGTGACTCGGAAAACGGTGTATGATTAGAGATACAATAGTAAGGGTGCAGGCGAGCTGGTGGATGTTAACCATGTTGAATATACCTGAGACTGGGGTATAAAAGAACATAAAAGTCGAAGAAACAGAACGGGGCAGGACGACGTCTCGTTTGGCGGTTGAACTGGTTTGGCGGTTGAACTGGTTAGAGTTGCCTCTTTGTAGTTGGTTGTGGGCTGTTTGTGGACTATATAAAGAGGAGGACTAAACAAACCTGGTGGCTGAGTTTGAGACGTCGTCCTGTCCCGTTCTGTTTCTTCGACTTTTATGTTCTTTTCTACCCCAGTCTCAGGTATATTCAACATGGTTATGATTAGAGATATAAAAAAATGCAAACCTTTGTCATTTTTTGATAAACGATAAAATACAGAAACGAAATCAGTTTTGAGACTGTGTGTTGTGCTCTCCCTCGTCTTTTCCCCAGTCTTGGTGTTTTGTCTTAAATCAGTTTTCTGCACTTTGCTCTAGACGTTAAAGAGATCGACATCCATATTAAATACATTTTCTGCTCTTTGCTCTAGAGTCTAGACGTTTGAGAGACCGACATTCATAGTAGTTTTTAGCCAAAATGTGAAAATCGTTGCATGGCTCCTTTAAAAGCGGTCGCTAAAGGCTCGTTCACACGGTTGCGTCGACTGCGTTGCGTCCTGCGGCACAGCGCCTACCCAGGGTCCTTATCACATGACCGAATACCGTTTTAGCGAACAGCGACGTTTTAATAAATCGACGACCTCCCCCCCCCCCCCCCCCCCCCCCGCGCACCGCTTACGCCTCTTCGCGGCAGTAGTTTGCGGCGGCTCATTACAAAAATGTTAACCTTATTGGCCCACCCGTAAACGCCGCTTGGCGGAGGCCGACTATTCGCTGAAGTGTCATTCGGTGAAACGTCGGCGTTCGCTAAAACGTGGCGATCTAGGGTGCCTAGATGTCTGTGCGCGCGTGTGTATGAAGGCACTCTAGTGGCGATCAAATGAGTTCCTCCCGAAGGAATGCGGAGCGCAAGTTCGTCTGCTTCTTTGGCAGGGGTTGTGGTGATGTCCGAACGCCGAGCTTTGATTGGCTCTGGTTGAGGGTAGTCAGTAGACCTCCAGGAAGCTTACTTTAAGGTTTACTCACTATCATTTAATTAGCCAATCAGAGCTCGGCGTTCTGACGTCACCGCAACCCCCGTGCAAGAAGCAGACGAATTTGCGCTCCAGACACAGTCACGACGAAAAAACAAACAAAAACTTCAGTGTCTAAGTGATGATCTCATGAACATACCCTTGAGGCAGTGACCCCATTGACCAAATAACCCCATCTACTCTAAGGACATAAAAAAAGTGGTGTGTATGTTTATACGTACAGCCTAGAACTTGGTCTACCTCAACGGGTGACTTGTCTCCCAGCTGTAGATGAGAAATTAGCCAGTGCAGTACAACCGCTAGTTTGGGGTCTTAAGGTGCATCGCGCAGTAGTGTTACACGACCACACGCCGGTACGATGCTCATCCAGATAAGGACATTTCAGAAACACAGGGAGACTTTTCACAAGCTGCTTGCACTCCAGCTACCCTATAATCAGGAGCTGCATATTCATTTGCTTGAACTGAAAACAAAAAAGCTCGTCAAGGGAAAAAAAAAAAAAACTTGCGCCGGTGTCTATTTTGCAATGAATGAATCATGAAAAGGTTCGAGTACTCATACGTGTATTTGCATTTGTTTCATGTTATGTAAATTTAAGCTGAGTAGTGTGTTCGGAACAATCACTATATTTGGCTCATTGTAGCTGCTATAATTTCTTACTATATCTTTATTTAGTTTCAATTTATTTTTTTACTTTTTCTTAATTCCTTTGTCATAAAGAATAGACCCTTTACGAAAGTCAGTCTACCCACCTTGTGCAGAGCCAGACCCGACGCTCTAATGGCGGAACTACACTGTTTCTCCACACCAGAAAAATCGAACGTCTTCGAAAGCATAGAGCAGAAAAAGGAAAAGATGTTGGTCCTTTCACGTCACCTTCGATGCACGGAATCGAGGGTGTTTGATTTAGCCGCGCATGATCTCCTATCACCGCCATTAGAACGGCAATAATGGAGCTTTTTATACTGCCACAAGAGGACTCTGACTTTTGAAAAGGGTCTATTGAACCAAAAAAACCATTTCGCCACTTTGGAAAAAAAAAAAAAAAAAGATTCGTGGAAAAGGTTATTTTACACGGTGCAGCCGTAGTAATACTGTAAATGAAGAGGAAAGAGAGTGTTTATTAAATTTATTACATCAAAGTAAGGGGAAGGGAAAGAGAAAAAGAGCTGGCGAAAAGTTGGGCAAGGCGCAATTTTTCGCCAGCTCTCTTTTCCTTTCTCTTCCTCTAACTTTGATGTAATAAATTTAATAAACACCCCCCTTTTAATTTACAAGATTATATATATATATATATTTATTTATTTATTCATTTATTTATTTATTTACAAGAACTCGGATATGTCAACCTGGTCCGATGTCTGTTTAACACCAAAGCAAATATCACGACTTTCCTCCTAGCTTCCTTCGCTTTTCGATGACCTCAGTGCTCGTCAGCCTTGACGCCACATGCCAATGCTGTCCATCTGTTTTGCCGGGCACCCGTATGTCCTTGGTCGTGTTCCAAAATTTACTCGATCTTACTCCAGGGTAAGAGTTTTGTACCTTTGCGTTCCAAAACCTACCCGCGTCCAGCGTCACTCTATCTGTGTTATCACGTGACACGACCCGCCGGAGTAACGCGGATCTATTTGGGCTATTAGGGTAAGATTTCGAACACAGCCTTTCCCTTGCCCGTTTTCGGGACTTGAAGAGCAGCGAAGGTCTTGGGCGATTGACCTGCAGCTAACAGAGCCTGTGAGTAGCTCTCCGGACCCACGAGATGAGCATGGTCAAGGCACCCGTGAAGGACACGAGCGTACTTTGACCACCCCCCCCCCCTCTTTTACCCCCGCAAAAAAAAAAAAAAAAAAAGAAATGGACGGGGGCCAAAATTTGGCGGGCGCCGTAGCAGACGACGCGGTTTTCTCTCTAACCAGAGGAGAGGACAATGCGCTCATGCACAAGGAGGTTCCCCAATCTCCTTTAATCCCCTCCCCAATTCATAATCCTCTCACAGCCTAACCTCGGAAGATCTGTTCGGGAATTTTTGTTTGTTGTTTTTTCCCACGTGATGCACGAGGTTCCTCTTTCGAGAGAGAGAGAGAGAGAGAAAAAAAAGTTTTATTAAGGCCGGCCATGTCCAGCTGCAAAGGAGTCGGAGTGCAACGCACTGAGTATTCACTACAGCAAAGCGAAATGGCGTGTAGCTTGGTTTGCCTTGCAATACTGGAGACAGGTGAAAGGAAGAAACTGTCCCTGTCAAGCGGTACGCACAAGGAACTCCTGACGGCTTTGGCAGCACTAACAACTATCAGCGAAAACACCTTGGTAAGTGCTTTTTTTTCTTTTTTTTTATCTTGTATGGTTTGCTTTAATGTTTGAAGTTGCGTTGTTAATAGACAGGTTTAGGGAACAGTCTTTCTAAGATTGCTAAAGAGGTCCGCAACCCGACACTGCATTCTCAAACAGGTTCGTCGACTCGGGAAACCGTCAAACGTGTACGAAATATTCCCCTAGTTCTGTCGTACTGCGCGAGACCAAGACCAATCGATGTGCCATCGGTGGGGTCCGGACATTTTGGTGTACGACGTTTCGGTGCTGGGCGTTTCGGTGCAGGGCGTTTTGGTGCACCGACGTTTTGGTGCACGGACATTTCGGTGCACGGAATTTTTGGTGCGCGGACATTTTGGCGCATGAACTTTTCGGTGCACGGACGTTTCGATGCGCGGTCATTCAAAATCGCGTTTTTTCTTTTTCTTTTCTAAAATTATTTTAGCTAGAAATCCTTTTTTTTTTTTTCGCACTTTATGAATCTGTAAACTTGGTCATCCATTTACGGTCACTTACTTATATACGACCAAGTGACTTTGTTAGGCGCAGCACCATCCTGCAGGAGGGCTGGACACGTTGGACGTTATGTTTCGTTTGCCGGTGTCTCTTTTCCAACGTACGCACTAGTCGCATCACATCGTGTCTACGCGTTGAGTCGATACAGGTGCTCTCGGCGCCTTCTCTAAAGGTGTGGGCTTTATTATTGGTAACCTGTGTAGGAAAGGCCCCAACAGCAAGAAGCTTGAGATTGTTCAAAATTACCCGAGACATGAGATGCGACTAGTGTGTACGTTCGAAAAGAAACACCGACAAACGAACCAGAACGTCCAACGTCTCCAGTCCTCACGAAGGATGGTACTGCGCCTAACAAAGTCCCTTAGGTGGTATATCAGTAAGTGTCCGTAAATGGATGACCAAGTCCAGAAAATTATAAAGTGCAAAAAAATAAACTTCTAGCTAAAATGGTGCTTACTACGTTTAGAAAAAAAAAAAAAAAAATCAACTCGTGATTTTGATTGGCCGTGCACCGAAATGTCCGCGCACTGAAAAGTCCCACCACCAAAACGTCCTACACCTCACTTATTCCCTTCACCCCTATGCTAAGCGTCCGTCAGTCGGTTGTAAGCATCTTGCACTAAGCATTCGCCGGAACAAGTAAAAAAAAAAAAATCCCGTTGGAACAGGGTTGGGGGTTTTGAACATCCGATCCTTCAATTACAAGTCGGGCATCGGACTCCAGCGCCCTGCGGTTTTTCTATTTCGTCATAACATGGTTTATTTACAGTTAATTATTGTTGCTGTTGTTGTTGAAAGTGATTTTTATTGGCACATGAAAACAATGATTGGGGCTTGGTGTCTTGATCTCTCGATCTGGACGGAGGTGCAGGAAGAAGGCGCCTGTGTATGTGCGCCTACGTGTGCGGGTATGCATGTATGTGTCTGCACGGAGCGGTAGTGGAAGTGGGGATTAATAGATGAAACCACTGATCCCTTCTGACGATTTCCGGATCGCGCTTCCCCGCTTAATCGCTGCAGCGCGAGTGCGGCCACCAAACGGCCATCTTGCATGCTCAGAAATCGCGTTTTCGATAGCGTTGCAGAGGCTGGCGGCAGCGTGCTGAAGACACGTTTTCTACTCGTTCGTCGTCATTCGTCGAAGTCTTTTTTTTAAACTCTGTGTAGGCAGTGAGACTTGCCGTTGAGAACACATGGACATTTTTAGGAAAGCGCAGCGCCGCAGGATAAAGGTACAATTAGTCGAAACCAAGTTTCGCCGATCTCGCGGCCTGATCAGAGCTTTTGTGGCACGCCGAAGCGGCCGAAGTGGTGCGTCTCTGTGCCTTCGCACGCTTGGATACCGATCCGGAAGCGACGCCGTGTGAATGTGTTTTGCGAGAGCAATATGCGTGAAACAGTATGCGCCTTTGGAGCAACGTTTCACTTTACTCTGACGATTGTATTTGTAACTTGCGGCACTCGCTGTCCAGAAACGAGCTTGATGCAGTGTCCAATGGCAACAAAAAGGGGGAAAAAATAACCGGCGGCGGCGCGTTTTTTTTTTTTTTTTATTTACTAGACGCTTATGGCAATCAATTCAGTAGAACGAAAAATATTTGTTTCTGTTCAACGTGCGATTATCATTTACGGTTCCTACCCAAAACCGTAAATGATAATCGCACGTTTGTATTTTGAAAGACTGGCTATATCTTTCGTTCCCAATGGTGCACTCGAGCAAGCGCCCGAAGACAAGCGAACGGAGAGCGCAATGCGTCATGGGATATCCGGCGCAACAAAAAACAAACGAGATTCTCCGCAATCGTGACGTAGCAAGGCTGTCGTGGTTATGAGCTTTGCCGTTGGTGGCTTTGTCAGCGTTGTGGTGGCGTCAACGCGTTACACCCGAGCCGTTCGCAGTGCGCGCGGCGTGTCGAGCGTTTCGCGTGTGAGATCAGTCGTGCGAGCATTTTACGTGTGAGGTGGTCGTTTTTTTTGTTTTTTTTGGAGAAAAAACAAGGCAGAAATCCCCGTTTCAGTCGTATTTTTATAGCCAGAAGACCCAAGCTCTTCATCCTGGGACTGCGCTCGTAGTCCTCATTACGAAAGTAATCGCCACACAAGCGAGCAGCAGGCGTCAGAACTTACGTCGAAAACGACGGACATGCGAGCCGGATCCACAGGGCACGAGGTTTCTCGATGTTAGAAAACATGTTGATCGGCATATTGCTGTAGACTAAGTCGTTACCACAGATCTCAGCCATGCAGAAGCGAGGCGGCATGTCGACGTCAAAAAGTGCAGAACGGCTTCGAACTGTACAGCAAAGTCACAGGAACAACTCAGCGACATTCATCAACGAGTCCATCATTGCATCTCGTTGGCTTCCTTCGCAAAAAGGCAAAGGCTTCGCAATCGCGTTCAGGCCAAGGCAACTTAAAACAGTTCAACGTACTTCGAAAGAGCGGGGCTGCTGCGATGTTTAGTGCGGCTACATAACGGTTCCTGCTATGTCATGATACGTAGCAAGATTTCCAACGTTGCTAGATTACCTCCCAACTAAGCTTCACAGGCATTCACCACGTGCACATTGACAGACCGTTTAATTAGCTTAAAATTTAGTTTTCTTGTGCATTTCAACGTAAGACTGGTGTTTTTGAGGTTATGCTGGAACATGCAAGACGTTTAAGCTGGAAAATGAGCGCTGGAATTTCGTTTCTCTTGTTGGGACGCGCGTGTCAAATAAAATAAATTTTACGCAATTTTTTTTTTTTTATAAGTGTCGATGTGATTTGAATTGTTAAAGAACCACTGAAAAGGCACAAATGTTTTTTGAGCAGTTTGGTTGGGACGCACGCGTCAAAAAATAAAATTTACGCAAAAAAAAAAATTTTTAGTGGCGATGGGAGATGAACTTTTAAAAAGTCATTGAAAAGAAAACAAAAATTTAAACAGACTGGCTGGGACATGTTTGTCAAAAAATAAGTTGTACGAGAAAAAGTCGAGAAATATTGACTGCGCAAGACGCGATTTAGTCGGTAGTCACTTCTTTTTGCACTTGTCGTCTCTCTCGGCATTTCAGGCTCGCGGAGGAGAGGTGGGTCGGCTTAGCCATCACATTAAGGTGTAGAGAGTGTATAACCATCTCCTTGAACTGAAAAGAGTGTATGACTATTCCGTGACGTAATGGACTTTGTGCGCAGAATTTGAAATTAATCTCGCGCCGTCAATATTGCGTAAAATTTTTTTTTTTCGCGTAAAATTCATTTTTGACATGCGTGTCCCAACCAGTCTGTTTACATAAAAAAAACATGTTTTTTTTTTTTTTTAGTGGTTCTTTAAGTGGGTCAAAAAACGTGTTTTCAAGTTTTTCCTTCTTTGCTTTTCTCCTCAACTCACAAATCGCGCATTGTACCAAACAGTACACGAAGATGGAAAGGAGGGACTGCCCTCTTGCTCGGACCCTCGTTTGTTTAACCGCCGCTCAGAACTCGGACAAAAGTTGCTTTCTCCACCACGCTCACCCCTAGCTCACAGTGCAGTCTAAGCTACGTGCTCGTTGGGCCAGCCACACATTTTCCACGTGATCATGCTCCCTCGTGCATGCCCACGTGCAGAGAATGAGGCTGCAGGTGATGAAAGGGAGGCGGCTGATTGGTCCGGCCAGCGCATAGCTTCCACCGCACTACCACCTTAAGAGTGAAGGGAATAAGTGAGGTCCGGTGTCGTGTGACGTGCGTTTGGGCCGGGTGACGCGCTTTGTGTGTATCACAGTGAAAGGACAAAGCTTTCGAAGGGAAGGAGGCACAAAATTCTCCGCTGTGTTTTAAAAATTTCGAACCGAAAATCAGGCTTTTGATTTTCTATCTTCTCTTTTTTTGGTCCACTAAACGATATGCTACTAGTAAAACCAGTCTAGATTTATTTATCCGGCCCAAAATTCGCTTCATGACCCCTTTAAGGAATTCTGATTGATCAACAGATTGCACACAACCATGTGGGTTGCGTTTCAAAGATTTTCAATCTCGACGTGTTGTACTTTTGCCTACGAAAACCTTCCGTGCTGCACTGCACTATTTGTGCTGCCATAGAATCCATTAGAGTAGATTTGAAACATAGCCATGGTTAATTGTGCATAAGAGCAACTGTACAATAAACTGCGCGTGTGCATAGGCCTAAAATCCTTTCACATTCTCAAGAACATCCAGCAAGGTCACTCGGTAAAGCGGACATTCCACCGTGGCGTACACTGGAGTATGCAGATTAATACTGTAAGATACAATCGCACGGGCCGCATGTCCACATTCATGTTCCGCACGGCCATTCTGCTTCGCCATATTGCATGCAGGCTCAGGAGCATGACTAAATATAACTCAATCTTGAATGCAGTCAATATTTCAGAAAAGTACTGAAGTAGCCATATCAGCATTTCTCCGAAATGAGCTGGCAGTCATGATTGTTCTTTAATGTAAATTTATTCTGCAATCTTGGTTTGCGGAAAGATAAGTAATTTCAGTTCTAATTAAAATTTGTTAGTTCTTTTTTTTTTTTTTGAGTGGAATCACATTTTTGTAGTCAAGCAAAATTGCATTTTCGGCGCACCATTTCGTGACTATATCAGGACGCAACCGGTTCCCATTGGATAGCTCTGCCAATTTCGACATCCCACCACGGTGCAAGCCGACCCTTTCTTCCTGTGCCATTGCCTCTAATCATGTGGAGTGGAAGCAGATCCAAAACGGCGAGTAGAACACGTCCGTCTTGGTCCCGATCGCCCGTGAAATAGGCGTACTCCAGAAAAGTCGATTCCGGCGTGCTCCAAAACGACCAGTAGAATTTTCCTAAGCTACGTTGCACATTTCTCATATATTAGGGTGTTTCAAAACTTCAAATTTCAAAGCAAGTGATCTGCCGGTCACTTGATTTGAAATTAACGGAAGTGAAATTCAGAATTACACGTGTAATCCGAACATCCAGAGCATGTAGAGCTAGCTAATCATAGCAGGTTATGTAACAGGTGATATGGCTGTAGCTCCCCTGTAAAGGCTTCTGTACAATCCTCGCCAGCTTTAACAGTAAAGTGCGGGCACACGGCCGACGATACCTCGCGGCGAGGTTATTACCAAAGATTGTCACTTGTGTCATCAACAAGCCTGTCATGTATATAACCTCGCAGCAAATGTGGATGACTTTCAGAAAAGAGCACACCAGGTACTGTGACTGCGCACTCACGAGTTACTGCAAAAGCTAGCGGGGCCTTTGCGGTTATTTCCTTTCTCTTTTGATAGTGCGGTTTTTGAAGGAAGCAGTTGCGTGCTACACAGTTTTTGTGTGTGTCGTCACATCACAGTGCATCACATCACAATGCACCTGCATCAAACAGTTGCTTTCAAATAAAGGCATACCATTTGGTTATTTTTTGTCCAGCTGTGAAAAGTGCTGCTAACATGCTGTACAGCTTGGCAGAACAAACGTCATTGTGTACTCGGGAAAGGTTGCTTATAATTCATGCATTTATGAATGAAATGTCTGTTTCAGATCCAGGTATACGATGAAGACCTTGAGGACTTTATCGACCTGGAGCCGGGAAGCAATGTGGAGAACAGAGCTAAAATCAAATTGGCACGGAAGGTTGTCCCTCAAGCTGATGTGAGTGTTTTGCTGCGATCCAAGGTCTCTCTTGGGGTGTGACAAATCTCAGAGTCAGTTTTCATGCAAATATTCCTGCAGGCTTTAGTTTTATTTAGGCAAGAATGCTGAACACACGCGAGACATCAAAATAGGATTTAAATAGTGGTATTTTATTTTTAAATGTACACTAAAAAGCAGAGTAATTTATAATCGAATGGGAATTGAGCTTAACTACAGCGTTATATACGAGCTAACAAAAATATAGTGCTGCATCCCTGTTTTAGTAAGAGGTTGGGTGCTGACAGAACACAGTTGAGATAAATGGCACCTATAAATGACACATGGCCTTTAGACCCTCAGTACCTTGATTCTGCTAAATTGAAAGAGATACCAGCCTGTCACGCAGCATGGTCTGCAGCAGTTAGCATAGTTAACAATCATGCAGTACTCAATGCATCTAGTATACTGAAGAAACAGTAAAATCATTATAAACCTATGACAGTTTTTCAGAAATGTATTTTTCATACTCTGTTTGCCACAATTGCATCGGCCAACATGTCTGTCATTTTGATAGCTCTTGATGATTACAGGCAGCGTTATACGGTTATACCCCACCTTTTTACCTGAAGGTGAAACATTTTTCGGTTCTTTGAACCACATTTATCATGAAACAGCTATTTCGTTAGGCCATGTTGCAAATGTGTTAAATATCAGGGATTCAAGATTTTCGTTGGGGTAGAAACCACAAACAGCTGCTCAAGACAGGGTGCTTTTTTATGCAGTTCACAAGTCCCGCTGTCATCACCGGTGACGTGACCGCATTAACAGCACAGAGTGACGGGTCCAGGTAAATGACGATCACCCCACAGGAGAGAAGTATACTGTGTGTGGTTTACTACAGTCGAACTACATTTTTAAATAATTCGATTTGAACACAAGTGTGTTTTGTTTCAGTGCCAGAACTTCAGATGTTCAACTAGAGCACGCCGTGCCAGTCGAGAAGCGGCAGGATTACCTCGAATTCGCACTTCCCGACTTCGGGATCTACGAAGATGTCCTGAAAAGGAAGACGCCCGTAGGCGGTGCAGTCCGGCGGGCCATCGTCAATCAGCTTTTTCAAGCGTGCTTCAAGATAGTATGGTATGTAATACTCTTCTTTTGGTGCCAGTCGTCTCTCTTCATTGCACTTGCATTCTAGTATTGTCAATGCAAATAAGCCCAACCAGTTTTCGTTGCATATTTAGCATCTGCCGAAAAGTGTGATTGGTCTCAGCCTAATGTGAGTATGGCCATCTCAGGCCTAGTTCGTTTGAAATTAAAGTATTATAGAGTAAAGATGTCATGTCCGTGAGATTCAAAACCGTGTCTCAATGTATAATATTGAGCATATTGATACTTTAGACCTATATCGGAGTGCATAAATCTGGGTCCAAACCCTGATCTAAAAATATTCTTTTTGTATAAGGCTCGTCAAAATATTAGGCGATGGAAAAAAGCGGCTCTCATCAATAAGTCTTTATTTCAAACTTTTTTTTTTCACATCCCGCCAATTGAAGAGCACTGTGAGGGAGCCTGACCACCCGCCTGGTAGCCCTCAAATTTGGCGTTCAGTGAATACCCCCTATAGTTTGTGCTCACCGTCATCATGGCAACGAAGCGTTGACTGAATGGATCCGTGAAACGCTCTAGCATCTGAAGCCAACAAGATCTGACGCTATTAACCCGAGCGTTCCGTCTCGTCACCTAGCTTGGTGATCGCTTAATAATTCCAGAAAGTCTTGTTGCAATTTCAGCCTGAAATTATGATTCATTTTCCCAAAGAAAGTGGGGTGCAGTGAGGAGTGACCACGCAAAGCATGATCTGTTTGGAAACCTAGCTTGCCGCCATGACTTACTACTGCCACGCTCCTTCGGCGACACAAACTACCAACCAGCTTTGACCAGCGCTAGCGTTAGCAGACGACACTTGAAGAAATGCAGTTCGACGGCTGCCATATTTCTCCAACGACGTAAGCAACCAATCGGTTTTCATCAGCGTTGGTGTTATGAGATAACTCTGAGAAATGGCATCGGATCTTGCTGGCTTCAGACGCTGGGGTCTGGCACGCATCCGTTCAGTTGACAATTCGTTACCTTGGTGACGGTGAGCATAGTAGACAAACTTTATTGTACGAAGGGACATGATGGTGTGGAGAGATCAGGTCAGTGATCGGGCTCTCTCGCCTTTCTTTTGAATGGGCAGGAACAAAATATTTTAAATACACTTATCAATGAGGGCAGATTTTCTTCAGCACAAAACAGGGTGTATTCACTGGAGGCCATAGCTGTGTGCGCGATTGCTGAGCGCGTGCTGAAGGCGAACTTCCACCTGCAGTTATTTTGCAACGTGCACTCTACACCATCAAGATTGCCGGTCTTAGCAGACTATTAATGTGAGCTCATTCTGAGCATGCGCTCTAAACAGCACCCACAAGTATGGCGTCCAGTGAATAGAATCTGCTGGCGACTCTAGCGAAACCGACGCCGCGTAGCGGCAAGGCCGAGAAGCTCAGGAGAGGAGGTCGTTTCGACTCTGTCGTCTGCTATCGCTGGCGTGGTTCTCGTAGGCGGCATAGAAACAAACATCGTTTCCAGTAATTATTTTTATGCTTCCGCTGTGTCATTCCTACGCACTGATTGAAGGAATGTTTCATCGAAATATCGCTTTGCTTTCTTATGCAAAACCGATTTTACGCTGCAGTGCAAATAATTTATGGTGATCCGCGTGATGACCGACGAAAACGGCCTCCTTTCGTCTGCCAATTTGCCTGAATATTTTGATGAGCCTTTCACAAAAAGTATGTTTGTATGTCGATCCAGTGGCCCATTTTTTTCCCCGGCTTGTAGGGCTGAAGTATCAAACTGGCCATTTTCGTTATGTCCTGTTGTCACCATTATATCTTGCATTTTTCTAAATTGAATTTTTTTGTTTTGGCCTTATCAGCTAACAAAGCTTCTTTTCAGCATCCAGCAAACACATTTTTTGTGTTGTTCTATTGCAGGTCTGTTTTAGCGGCTGGCAATACCCAAAGTATGATACACGATGGAAGGTGTGAAGTGATGTTTATAGACTCAATATAAAAGTTTAATTTACAAGTTAGGGTCTTGATGAAGAATGCAACTATATTGAAAGGGGTGCCTCTCTGGCCTATGCGGTACATGTATTATTAAGTTCTTGGACACAAGTAGTACCAAGATGAATTCTGCCACACACATTCAAAGAACCATAATAGGAGCTTAAAAAAAGTGTTCTTAAAATACCCAGAAAATATTGTATTTACTTTTTTAATTTTCGAGATGTTTAATCTAGGACGCAATTTTTTATGTTACACTGGCAGCATAATAATACCCTTTCCCTTATGCCGTAGGTACCCGTCGCGGCAACTCTATAGGGTTGCAGCTGAGAGGCTGGTGTCGAAGTACCCCCATCTGGCAGATAAGATTGGGAGTGGCAGTGGCTTGGTGAGCATCACTTTTGCAGCGGTCTTCTCATGGCATTTTTCTTTTAGAACATCAAATGAAGATTATCAAATAACCCCCAGAAAATTTATTTATTGTAACACGAAACGAATGTGCATGCGTGGGAGACTGGCAAGCGGCTAATTCGAGAAGAGCAAAATTTTAACCGTGCGCCATATGTAATAGAACAAATGACCTGTGCCAGTATCCAGACGATTTTTTAGCAATTGTTATTAACCACAAGAACATTTCTTTGGCTGTGCGACACTGCGGAACGTGCGAGTTGCGTGAGCGGGTAGATTAGACTTCTACTGCCGCTGAACGATGGCTCGTGCAGCCGAGGCACAGTCGAATGTAAGGAGCTTGCGCTTATGTCTGTTGCTCACACTTTCACTATAACTTGCAAACAACGAAGACTACAGCCTCAGTGATTCAATCAGCGTGCCAGAGCGAAGCACGTGACAACGAATAACTGTGGCGCTCTCCTCCCGCTTAGAGGGGAGACATACTTTGCTGCGTCGCTCTGATTGGCTCGTGGGGACCGAAACATTCGCTCATTTCCAAGTTACGGTGAAACAAAGTTTAAAAGCTGTGTATTCCAGAGCTTCCAACGGAGAGCACAGGTTTGAAAGGGGTTTATGATAGTCGTAATACACTTGCTGGAGCCTGGAAGTGCTGTGGTGATCTTCACAATGAGTCGCAAGAGAAGGGAGTGGACTTAAGAGGATATCACCGAACAGAAGCGGCGGTCCGCTAAGGCTCGGCGTGTTTGTGGTACCAACGAGATCCCGGAAGTATATGTCGCGGTCGGTGGGAACGCCCCCAAGGGTTCCCAAGTCCGTCCAATAGCGTCTTTTTGGTGGTTATTGTTGGGGGGGGGGGGGGGGGGGGGAGGGGGGGTATCGGGTCGGGTCGGGTCGAGTCCCTCCAAACCGGAGGTCTCCCCTCCGCCTTAACCTTTGGTGGCAATGGCGTCATGTCGCATCCAGAAGCTTCCTACCGCCATGGTGGGCTCGTTTAGCTATGGCCGAGGGCCGAGTGAGAGAATGAGATTTGTCGCAACTTAATTATGGCATTTTGACGTTGTCTGCAGCAAAGCGTCGCAAACACGCTGCCCCCTTTTTTTAATGCTGTCTGACTAAATAACTCTGCTTATCTATCATAATGAGCTAGTGCCACCAGTGCACATTCGGCTTTGTGCACTGGTTGTCACAGCTGGCCTGCTGTAGTGCTTATTTCTGGTTCTTATTGTCCTGCACAAATCAGTAAATGAACGAGTGCACCTTCATGTTTAAGTAAGGTTCCTTAAAATAGTTTGCTGATTCGCAGTGCACGCAAATAATTCCTCCAAGATAGGAGTTCGTTAGGCCTGGTCAAACAGGCATCTCCCGAGGCCCATGCACTTAGGGTATCTGAAACTTTCTGCATATCTAAAGAATGTGTAAAATTCCTAAAGGCTAATGAGTCTACTTGCAGAACACTGGTTTTCACTCACTTTTTATAGTTTGCAGGCGTTCAGAAATGTTTTTGTGCACGCATAGGAATCCCAATCCCGGCGACGGAGCGTTCAAATCCAAACAAACCGCCGCCGACATCTACATGGTGGGTCTGGTGTTTGCTCTAACCCGCTGATCTCCTTGCCAATGTGGGCACATAGTAATTTATGAGTAACAGTTTTGTTACCTATGAAAGTGGCGTTTATTTGAGGTTTCGTGTTTGTTATACACGGCTCTGCTATTATTGACAGTGCTTATAAAAGAAATTTGAAAACAGTTAGGAATTGTTATTCTTGTTTATGAGGAACGTTTTGTGCATGAATAACAATATGAATAACCGGATTTAAATTCAGTTAACATTGCTTTTTTATTCCAAATTATCTGCAGGAATCATGGGTGCTGGCACTCCGGAACAGGTTCAAAAATATGCGAAAGAAGACGGAGAACTGTTCCGAAGAGATGGCGGCGAAAAAACGCCAGTACCTTCACAAGAGGCACGCCGAGGCAACTTCAGAAGGACCAAGCAAGAGGCTGTGCCGCCTTTTCGTAAGTCTTAGTTAAAATGTTTCATCCATTTCGTTTTACATAGCCAAAATCAGCCGTTTCTTTTTTTAAAATGTAGCACATAAAAACTGCCATTATGAAATTGTATTTTCATGAGCTGGTGGTTAAAGTTAACCTATATTAATATAATAAACCCGGCAGATTGCTGGTTCTTGTTGCTAAGCGCAGTTTACGTATCCAAGTAATGTGGTCTTAAGCAATTCTTTGTGGCTGGGCAGTTAATTCAGTCCACAACAAAAAAAGTAAATTTGTTTAGTTTTGTGTTGAACAAGCCTTTTTGTCAGCTGTTTTTTTAGAGAAAATTGTCCTGGATTTGCAATTGCATACACATACATATTCATCTACTTACTTCCGAAACTGCCTGTGTCAGAAAAAAAGCAATGACAGACTGCCATTGAACGGGCACCCAAGTCAGCATATGGTTAGAGCTGCTTTGTTCTAGTTGTAATGACTTGACCGGCTGTATTGCATGAGATGATAGTGTGGAAATCTACCATAACAATATATTATGAGCAGCTGCGAAGTGTGGTCTTCAAGTGCAAATTGCAGCTATGCTATAGCTATCTTAAAACGTAATTTTGATAGTAAAGGCCATTGTCTTTACTATCACCTTCCAATAGGCATTTGCTAAATTACCCAAGTTTCAAGCAGAAGGGCAGGAACGGGGGTATATGTGCTGCACGTGCTCACCTTATCTGCATAAAAGGATTAAAGTAAATACACACAAAAAAAAAAGCATTGGTGAATGTGGGTGCAAAATGCCAATTAGTGTTGGGTTTTTGTTTTCGAAAAGATTTTGTTGCAGGCGTCTGCATGCACAGCACGCAACTACACTCGAACCCTCGTTACTGATTCGGTAATTTAGGAAATGGTCTTGCCTTTACTGTACATCCTGCAATAGCATACGATATTTCTTAGGCCCATATTATTTTCCGGAAGGGTTCTGTACAACCTGGCTCACTACTTTCACGGTATGAGAAACTCAAGCTCAAGTGTGAACGAACTCAGCTATATGAATTTCCTTTACAACCTAATTATTTTGTGTACAGTTTCATAATGTAGCCTTCATGTGCCTGAGTAGAACAGCAATTGACAAGGTAAAGTGGTCAAAACAAAGCTGTGAGACTAGCCGCCATAACAAAGAGAAAACATAGGTCTACATATAGTTGAATAAGGTAGTCAATGTAGTTCCCATGTAGCTGTATATCGAAAGAGCAGTGAACTTTGACGTAACTCTGCTTTATACGCCACTAAAGAGCAGTGTCGCCTTGAAACCAGAAATGTAGACTTTTATAATATTTTTGGGTGGTTGTTTTTGCAGTCGATATTAGAGTTGAGTTTGGTAGGTTCTTTAAACTTCCAGGTCGACGCATTCTTTTATTTGTAGATGTGAAAGTGGATATGCTGGTTCTTGCTGGCATTCTACAAAAAAATATATTTACAGGCTAAACAAACCACCGAGCGTTAAAAGGAGAAGGGAGAGAGGATTTATCTCAATCAGGTGTTGCGCTGTGATTCAATTTTCAACCATTCTTTAATACCCATAGTAAATTAAACCTAATCTGACTGAAGCCTTGATTCTAAAAAGAAGGCCCCGTGTTGCTTTGGCGAAAGAACATAGAGCCTTCTTTACAAAAGGTAATAAGTAATGTGCTCGAGTATCAAAGAGGAACCATCCGTCATTATCAAAGATGAACTCATTTAGAGATGCAATCAATTTTTTATTCTCAAGTGATGTGAAACAGATGTTGGCATCTGCTGCACATCACTTGCACATCACCAAGAACTACAAATTTATTCCAAGGAAATTAAAAAGCTAAACGTTACAGAAGGAAACAAATCAACATTGGAGAGAATTAAGCTGCTAGCCATCGGTTCTCGCCACGCACCATGGTCGATCAATTGCTCTCGCTACTACTTGAAGATGAGTTCTCGGTGCCTTCGCCTCAGCTGGTCTGCACTGTCACTTCTCGAGCGCCTGCTTCGCTGAAGGTGCTCAGTATGTCAGTGTAGACCGGGGTCTCATTGGCATTTCCGATCTGGCTGAGTCTGTAGTGAGACTCTCAACACTGTTTCATGACGAATCGCTAAAGTTGATGAGCTTGTTCTTCGAAATCTACCAGCAGTTTTTGTCAGATAAAGGTCCGGCATCTCAAAGAAAACCCGTTAGTTTTTATTGCTTCACCCAGCCCCGACTTGCGCGGAATGCGGCACAGGGAATCTTTATCTGCGTTGCGACTTCCATTGCCTTTCTCTGGATAGCATCAGCCGCGACGGCCAAGCGCATCATTCGCTGTGGCTAAACTTTGCGCAGTCCCGTAGCTTGCGCCGTCTTTTCCACCGGATCACACGCGCTGTGTTTGTGCCAGTGTTGGCGGTAACGCATTACAAGTAACGGCGTTACCCGTAACGCGTTACTTTTTTTGGTAACGTAGTAACGTACTCGTTCCTTTTCCAAAGAAGTAAGGGGTAACATACTTACGTTACTTATTTTGAGTAACGTGTAACGAAAGTATGTTACTTTACTTCCTAAAACTTAAAAAAAAAAAAAAATTTTGTGTGTGTTTTTAAGTGCCCAGTCATGAATTCCTTAGTCAAAAAATGCCGCTGTCCTCCACTTTTCTTTGACGTCGGTGCTCGTCATATTTTACGTCACACGCCACCTGCCCCTGGTTTTGTCCCGCGGCTCGTTGACCTCGCTACCGCCGTCGCCTCGGCTGGAAGGCCAAAGAGGTCCGGCTTCGGGTTGGATTTGGGAGATTCCTGCGTCGAAGCCTGCGTTTCGCTTCCCGCTGGGAAAGAGAATGACACCTTCCTGTCATTCCCTTTCCCGTTTTCTATGGTATAAATCAGCTTCATATATACTTCCGCGTTTTTTCTTGTAAGTATTCGGGTGAAACCCTAAAAATGAGAGGGTAATTAAGTTTCCGCATGGACATATTTTAGCTATGGCGCTTACGCACATATCAAACGTCGAAACAGCAAATGTTTTAGTTCGTGAATAAAAAGTAACGCAACAGTAACGTGCGTTACCTTTTAACGGTAACGGTAACGCGTTCCTTTTATTTTGAGGTAAAGTAGGTCGGTAACGCGTTACATTTATTTGCAAGTAACGAGTAACGTATTTAGTTACTTTTTTCGGTAACGCATACAATACTGGTGTGCTAAACTGTTCAACAGCACCGTAATTACCGTTGTTTTCTGGGTATGTGGTAACCGTTCGCTTGAACTTTAATGTGTACAAAGTCTTTTTTGCACTCATGGCGGACAATAGAATTCTGACTGCCAAACCACGTGAACAAAGAACGAATGACGCTTGTGAGACGGGCGGCGACAAAGAGGCCTAACCAACCGAACTGATGAAACAAAACTAAACACCACGCCCCGATATGGCGAAGCTCCCAACGCTCCTGCGAGGTTGCGCAAATAGCGCGTTGGGTACTGCCATGTATAAACTCATTTTTAAATCGAGGGCCAGGGACGCCAGGCGCCGTCCGCGACTCCCGTGCGCGGCGCTTGGGTTAGCCTGAGAGCAGACGACAATGTCCAATTTTTTGTACGGAAGGGCGGTGCTTTCATTCGCATGGGGACTTTTTTTTCTTTATACGTTTTATGTCCACAAAAACGGCGGGGCGTATATATCGGTTGGGTGCTTAGAATTATGAAAATATGGCTGGCACCAAAAAACGATGACACCCACTAACATCTAGTGTTTCTTCAGAATCCCCTACATGTTCCTATCCTTGTGCTGGGATGGCTCTGTTATTTTTCATGTTTGATCATATCAAGCTTCGCCTTGTGTATTACAGGACTGCGACCACCTGGTCGTCTATGGAGAGACGGCGGAAACCCTGCAGAAGCACAATGAGTGGCTGCACGAAAATGTAGCCTGTGAGGATGAGGATCAGATGAGGCCACGGCTGCTTGCGACGGCAGAGGAGCGTCACCAGCGGCTTCGCACACTGACACTGTCTGAGGCCCTGATGTTCTATCCATTTCTGGGAACAGAGACTTCGGTATGTCTACTACATCCAGTGTTTCTCATCCAATTTCCACTTATTGTAATTCACTTTATTTGCAGCTCCTGACGGAGTTCGACGTACTTTTTAAAGCAAAAGGCGTAGAAAGCATCGAGAACGGCTGCAGGGTGCTCTGCAGCCTTGTGCTGCAGAGCGGAGAAGAATCCGAGGTGGTGGAATTCTCGAAGGTGGCATCTGGTAAGTTTATATTGCCATGCTTTGCGCATTTTCAACGTCGGCAACGCTGCTGTAGCTTTCTTGAGGCATAACCACTCTTGAAACTCAGCCAGAAAAATGCAAAAATTTAACTTAACTTGCATAGTTATCATCAAGCACTCAAAGCACTTCATTTCTAGTCACTAGACTTGTTCTATGTTGCATATGCGAACCACCAGAACATTCCTGTTGCGGCAAGCTGTACAGGATGAATCTGTATCAGTTTGATTACGTTCTCAGTATAGGCTATCTATGGCTCGATTTAGGTCACATTTCTATCAAAATTGGAACAGCTTTTTACACTTTTACCAGTGTGCTCGTATATAAGGGGGAACCTAAAAGTAACCGGAATTAATTTCTGGAGGGCGGACCGTTCGTAGTACCATCTTCCGCCGCTAGCAGCGCGTAGCGGCACCTCTTCCCAGAGCCGCCTCTTCCGAGTCAGTCTGCCGACTGGCGTCGTCTCCTAAAGTTCTAGCAGCATGGTGTGGGTTTTTTTCAGAAGCGCATCAGGCACTGAAAAAAAAAAAAAAGAGTCTGAAGCGCTTGATGAAAAAATAATAACATGCTGCTTGGCCACCAGCAGTGGACGCCAAGCGTTGCAAGTGGAAGAAGCTATGACTGAAAACGGCCGCTTTCCAGAAAAATAATTTCGGTTACTTTTGGGTCCCCCCTCTTATGCCCGAATTCTTGAGACTGTATATAGTTCAAAGGTCAATTATTCTCTTTTGAATCTTAATAAGCCATTCCCTCTCATAAAGGTCCCCTTGTATACACATCTGAATTTCCATAAGTCTTGAACTTTTGTTTCGGTACCCGGACCGAGTAACGTTAAACAACACCATCAGGCATAATTTTCATCAAGTTCAGAATTTGTGCAAAGAGCGGCGGTCAGCAACCATTAGTTCATCATTGGAACATACAACAAAATCTATGTTGAATACTTGTGCCTTCCACTTTCATGGCACAATGCACAAATAAACCTTTCTCAGTACCATGCTTTACTAAATTGTCATTCACATTAAATGTAATATGCATAATACTAAAAAAAAGGTGCTTAAATAAAAAAAAGTTATTTTTCTTTCGCAGTAACGTTTTACACCACATTCTTTCATCTCTTTCAGAAGGCGGTGTGCTCGCCATTTTGCAGTTTGTTGCGTCCCGCTGCAAGGAACCTCTCAATGCCGTTCTGACAGAGGTGAGTGCTGGTGGAATTTAATAAATGTTAAAATTTACACAAAGATAGCAGCACTAATAATCTGCCCCAGCTGTGTATCCAGCGTTGGAATCATGTTGAAAAAACCGCAGATGGCCATAATTCAGGGCCCTTTATCATGTCTGTCACAGCATGGCTGTGGCTTTGAGATATACGCTACACAGTTTCATTAATTAAGACTGTTCTGTGCCTCTCCTTTCTTGTACCTCCTATTGATGCAAAAATCCAGTCTATTGATTTGGCATTGGGAGAATGTAAATATTGCATCATAATTATGTAGCCCTGCAATTGTTGTATTTGATTTGTTTCTGCTATCTGCTTTTGTTTCCCAGAACGAGATTCCGCTGACGCCATGCTTGGTGGAGCAGGATGGAGCGGTCTCCCTGTGGATCGACGGCCAGTTGTTTTTCCCAGTGTCGTCGCTGCTCTCGGGTGTGGCGTGCCTTTTTGCTGCTTACTGGGGTTTTCATATCGAGTACGCGAAGAAGGCTCATAAAATGCTAACCTTTATTGAGCACGCGTTTTTGGGACTGTGCTACACGAAGCCGCGGGTCAAGGCTCTTGAACTGATCAATTTCTATAGAGCGAACGCGACTTGTGTAGCACAGCCAGCCTAGTGTGCCCTACACTGTAATACTCTTGTCAGACGGGCATTTAAATCGTTTAGAATTAACTCCTTCAGAGAATCGGTCAATCAGCTTGAGTCCTTGGCTCTGCGTGTGCCCTTCGGCATGCACTTGTTCGCAGATTCTTTGAAGGAGGTTGCTCTGAAGTCCTGTTGAAATGACCGTCTGACAGGGTACGAAGTGTGATCAAAATGTTCCGGGACTGATTTTGTCTATAGCGTAAAAAGAGAGGGCAGCACAGTGATGCGCGCGCAGCATTCGAAGGAAGGGGCCTTCGTGTCTAGTTATATCAAAGGGCGTCGCTCTCTGAACATTTGGAGCTGCGCTACACGAGTTAGTTTGACTACATGTACGAGCATAATGGCGATCTCTCCATAGACTACGAACAAGCGAGAGCGAACATCAATTTTACGTCAAACGAGGCAAATCTAAAACAGAGACCTCTGATATGATTTAGAAGGCTAATGTCAAAAAGCAGTGAGGTGTGCGAGGTGTTTGAGTGGCATTTGCGGCTCAAGAATGGCAGAACGTCACTGAACTCGAGAGGTTGGATAAGGTCGCCCTACCGCTCTTTGTCTTTCAGCGATGTTCTGCCGTTCCTGATACGCGAGTGACACTTCAAACACTTTGCAAAATTCAATGCTCTCTGACATAAGCCTGCTGAATCATTTTAAGTGTCTCTGTTTTATATTTGCCGAGTTTGACGCAGAATTGATGTCCGCTCTCGCTCTGGTTTGCAGTCTATGGTGAAATCACCATTCCGCCCGTGCACGTGGTCACGAAAACTCGTGTAGCGCAGCTCCAAGTGTTAACAGAGCGACACTCTCTGCTACAACGAGACACAAAGGTCCTTCTTTTCGACTGCTGCGCGTTCATCACTGTGCTGCCCTCTCTTTTTACTCTGCGAAATCAGTCCCGGAAATTTTTTTCTCATACCTCGTATAAACCACTTTGCAGTTTTCCTATATTGTATTTAAAAATGTTCTTTGTGTTTTATACATTTTAAGATTTTTATTTCTGATTTCGTTTTACAGTATGAGGCAAGTTTAGCCTAGGCGCCATAAAAATGAATGTTCTATGGGCTAATAATTACGGACGTTTCATTACTTTTGTTTTTGTTTTTTGGAAGTGTTTATTATTACAAAAAGTTTTGGGTATAGAAATGGCTCTATATGGATAATAGTTATGGACATTTCATTATTTCTGTTTTTCTTGAAGTGTTGTGTATTATTACAAAAAAAAGTTCGCAATCATTGCCAACCCTTTGTTTTCTGCCTGAAGAGAGACTGGTTCACATATTCGCGATTTTTTGTGTGTGTAAAGCATTTTTTTGCACTGACTGCGTGTTCTCACGCACAAGCGATTCAATAAATTTATTTCGTGCATGATGCTACTTGCTTATGCCCTTCCTTTCACACTTTCTTACTTTGAAGAAACTCCATAGAAACTCCTAGGTGGATGTCAAATAATGCTCTCGTGCGTCCACGTAAAAACTCCCAGATAGATGTAAAAGATTAACTCCCGTATATTCACGTGTTAACTCCCAGATGGATGCGAAAGAATACTGCCGTAGGTCCACGTAATAACTCCCAAATGGATGTGAAAAAATACTCCCGTAGGACCACGTAATAACTCCCGAATGGATGTATAAGACTACTCCTGTAGGTCCGCGTAAGAACTCCCAAATGGATGTGAAAGAATACTCCCGTAAGTCCACGTAAGAACTCCCAAATGGATGTGAAACAATACTCCCGTAGCTCCATGTAATAACTCCGAAATGGATGTGAAAGAATACTCCCGTAGGACCACGTGATAGCTCCCAAATGGATGTATAAGGCTACTCCCGTAGGTTCACGTAAGAATTCCCAAATGGATGTGAAAGAATACTCCCGTAGGTCCACGTAAGAGCTCCCAAATGGATGTGAAAGAATACTCCCGTAGCTCCATGTAATAACTCCCAGATGGATGTGAATGAATATTCCCATAGGTCCACGTAATAGCTCCCAAATGGATGTAAAAGAATACTCCCTTAGGTCCACGTAATAGCTCCCAAATGGATGTATAAGGCTACTCCCGTAGGTCCACGTAATAACTCCCAAATGAATGTGAAAGAATACTCCCGTAGGTCCACGTAAAAACTCCCAAATGGATGTGAAAGAATACTCCCGTAGGTCCACGTAGTAACTCCCAGATGGATGTGAAATTATAGTCCCATAGGTTCACGTAAGAACTCCGAGATGGATGTGAAAAAATACCCCCGTGGGTCCACGTAAGAAGTCCCAGGTGGATGTAAAGGAATACTCCCGTGCGTCCACGTAAAAACTCCCAGGTGGATGTAAAGGAATATCCCCGTGGGTCCATGTAAGAACTCCCATATGGATGTGAAAGAATACTCCGATCGGTCCACCTAGGAACACTCCGATGGAAGTAAATAAATACTCCCATTGATCCATGTACAAACTCCCGTATTGATGGGAGGTCTGTACGTACTCCCTTGCACCCCCCAAAAAACTCTGGCCTGCATGGGAGTAAACTCTGAACTCCCATTCGGCGGAGTATAAAAAACTCCCAGATGGGAATGCGCTAGAGGACAAGCCATTTACTCCCACCTGGGTATATTTTCGTTTAGTGTGTACATGACAAAGCTGAAGAGCCAGCTAAGATGCAGTGCGGAACGCGACAATCCATCCAACCAGAGTAGCCTGATCGGAAGCACTAACAGATCACCAACGCCAGCGAAGTCGAGAATCAAACTCCTAAAACTTGAACTTCTGAAATTCAACGGTCAACGGAAGAAATGGCAGCCGTTTTGGGAACAGTTCGAGACCGCCATCCATCTGAACTCGGACCTATCGCCGGCGGAAAGGTTCAACTACCTGCGATCAGCGCTGAGTGGCGATGGAGCAGCTGCCATTGCCGGCTTAACAGCCCACCACACAGTGCTACTCCGACGCCGTGGACCTCCTGCGGAAGACGTTCGGAAGCCAGGAAGCACTCATCCAAGACCACATGGAGGGCCTGATGGATATTCCTCATGTGTCGTCGTCACGGAACACTAAAGTCCTCAGACGCTGTACGACAACCTACACGCTCGCGAGGACTCAAGGCGTTGGGGGTGAGCGAGGACTCCTTCTGTGCAATGCTCTGCCCGGTCCGACGTCGTGCTCTCCCAGATGACATGCTTCTGGAGTACCACCTAAAGATGGCTGCGGTGGACACGGATGACGACATCAGCCGGGGCCGGTTACTTTGGATACAAACTATATAGGCATAAATGTCTGAAATTTACAGAATAAAAGTCTACAGGAGTTCTAGCAAACCTTTTCTATTCACAATGTATCCACATTTTTATCGCGTTTCTTGAGCTAATTGGCCGACCATTCGGGATCGAAAAGCTGTAGACTGAAGTGTCTGATCTTTGGATAGAAGATCTACAGACATTTTAGCAGTATTTGCTATCCACAATGTATCTTCATTTTTAACGACTTTCTTCAGTTAATTGGCACGTCAATTTGGATACAAAAGGTATACAATAAAATGTCTTAACATTGGATAGAAAGTCTACAGGCATTCCATCTGAATTTTAGACACTTTAGTAGCTTTTCGAAACCCAGTGGTCGGCCAATTAGCTCAAGAAACGCGATAAAAAGTTGGATACACGTTCAATAAGTAATCTATTCACTGAATCCACAATTCTGTATACAAATTGGATACTCCCTCGCTCAATATTTTTGTAAGGGCTGACACAATGAGGAGTGATCACTATCCAATATTTATAGATCTACAGGGATTTCGTGGGACTCGACAGTGCACCAGACAGGTCACCCATTGGGACTCTCTTAGAACAAACATGGAAACGTCGACAGAGCCCATACTACAAGCTATATTGACAAGCGCGGAGAAGGCTACTATAAAGATCCGACTACCAGAGCACTACCCAGAACCTGACCTCAAGTTGCATAATCTTTGTGCAGCCCGAAGACAGGCCCAACGACAGATCCGGCGAAAATACTCAAGCACTGGCAAAACTAAGTTAAACAGAATCAATGCACTTACGAACCGCTATGCCAAGAAAACAAAACGAAAGCACTGGGATGACACATGTGCTACAGCTGATACCAACAAACCTGGAACTGAGATTTGGAGAATACTCGATGTTTTTACAGGCAAACGTGATTTACGCCTTTCACATGCTTCGATGGCATTTCCCCTCGGAACAAATCTGAGGGAAGCAGCGGAGAAATTTTCGGACCAATTTTTTTCGACCCAAGACCAGACCGACAAGGTGTATGAAGCTGTGACCAGATCGTCTCCCTTGGACACGGACTTCAACATTGAAGAATTAACGTTCGCGTTAAAATTAACTAAGCGGAAAAGTGCCCCCGGACCAGACGGATTCACGAACCAGATGCTGCAAAATTTACCAGCTGAGCGTCTACAAGAGCTACTAAAGTTTTTTAATTCTGTATGGGAATCAGGTATCATACCAGAAGAATGGAGAACAGCTTGGGTTGTACCCATACACAAACCAGGAAAACCACACCACGCACCATCATCCTACCGCCCCATTTCTCTCACCTCCTGTGTGATGAAGCTCATGGAAAGGATGATACATGCTCGACTCACGTGGTGGCTTGAAACTAACCATCTTTTGCCGCACGAAATGACAGGATTCAGACGCGGGCTATCGACTCAAGACAGCATCTTAGACCTAATTAGTTCGATCGAACACAACCAATCTAACAAAAAATCGACTTTGGCGGTATTTTTCGATATCTCGAAAGCATACGATAATGTTGAACCAGCGGTAGTTCTCGAAAAATTGACAGACATCGGCATAACAGGGAAGTTCCAAACATATCTGAAAAGCGTCTTCACCAACAGAACTCTCAGGGTTCGGCTTGGTCCAGCTCTCAGCACTACTCGCAGATGTACTAGAGGCTTACCACAAGGAAGCGTTCTATCGCCCATTTTGTTCAACATTGTGTTGGTAACATTACCAGCATGCCTTCCTAAGTACACTCTTCCCATTAATATGTCAGTGTACGCGGATGATATATGCGCTTGGGTTTCAGGGTAACGGCACCATGGCCTTCGAAACGCCGCTCACGCAACCATCACCGCAGCAAGCAATTATCTCAATGATTCTGGCCTACAATTCTCACTCGAAAAAACTGCATTCATACTATTCCTGGGAAAAAACCGACGTAATACCAAAATTGACCTCACACTTTACAATACACCGATACGTCGCGAACGACAACACAGATTCTTAGGAATCACTTTGAACTCTAGGCTTAACTGGCATGCACAAGCTATGATCGTAAAAAAATCTACACTGACAGCAAGAAACGCAATTCGTAGAGTCGCAGGACAGTCGTGGGGAAACTCACCAAGATCCATGATGCGTCTGCATTCAGCCCTTATTGTAAACCGTATATTATATTCTTTGCCATTCATTAAGCTGTCATCAACAGACTCCCAAATGCTCGAGTGCATACATAGACAAGGCCTGCGCACTTGCTTGGGAGTTCCTAGGTCAACAAAAAATGAAAATGTATACAAAGAAGCTTGCGTTTTCAATTTACCGCTGCTAGCAACCAAGAGCCTTCTTTCTCAGCACGTACGTTTGAGTGCCACACCTGCAGGAAGAGACCTGTTGCGACGACTTAAAACAAGGCAACAATCGCGTCTTCATATTACTGGACAAACTCTTCAACACCTTGGATGGACACCTGACATTTGTCATGATCGAAATGGTGTTAAACCATCGCCCCCCTGGAACAACTACTGCCCAAAGTGCACCTGCCACATTCCGGGTATACGCAATAAGATGAGCGAAAATGAAACAGTAATCAAGGAAAAAACAATTGAATATATCTCGATAACATACGCTGATTGTCTACAAGTATGCACAGACGGGTCAGTAAATCGCACCAGAAGAAGCGGCACTTCCGCTTTCTATATGCCTAGTTTACAACTTGAATGGAGTGGACGACTCGATAAGATGGTATCGCCAAGAACAGCTGAAATGTATGC